ATGAGACGCAAGTGTGTTCACAGCATGCATCGTCAACAACCAGAGTGAGCACAAGTCTTCACTGTTATGAACTTGGTTGCCTAACGAATTTTATTGCCACTCACACACAGACAATCTCACGCATGCCCATGCATGCATAAGAGAAGGGGGGAGAGGAGACAGAGTCCACACTGCACACAGGTGAAAATAAGCAGCAGAAGACAGACATGCACAGGTGGGGGGAAGACACGCAGTGTTTCTCACTCTTTGACATAACTCCCAATAACCAATCACAAGAAAGAACCTGCGAAGATCACAATTGGAAAGGTCACTGATGATAAACCACTCATACAATTATCGTAACAGAGTTTGTTCCAGTATCTCACCACACTCAGAACCCACACCCCACTCTCTATCCTACACCCAGTTAGTAGCGCTGCATCAGAACAACCTCCCAGAGTCAAGCGCCAACCACCCTGATGAACAACAGGTCCTGCGATGAAGTCTTAAGTGCCGATGGACAACTCTGACGAAGGAACAGCTATGGCTGCCACCACCCACGAACCACCACTGTAGAGCCTCGGTCCAACCCGGCCATACGCAGATACCCCCAGGGGTAGATGTGTTGAGGATGCCTCAGCTATGGCAGACTCAGATGTGGCTGGCTATGGCTGCTGTCACGGTGCGCCTCAGGATGTCGTCTGCAGACCAACACCGCCACCAACTTGCTTGGCTTCTCCAACGCTGTGTGGCGAGAAATGAACTACCAAAAGTCATGAACCGGTGGGCCTATCCTATCTATAGACTCTCTAGGCCTAGACCGAACTGACTAACCGACCGGTACCGTTGCTGTTTCGGCCTCTCGGCCTCTACCGCACCCGGCTATAGGCTATAGGACCGTCTAGCAGCATAGGCCACTTAGGGCCTGTCTGTCCTAGGGGTAGCCCAGGCCTGCTATAGGCAGTTAGGGTAGCTGTAGGAATTCGGTTAGTACCGGGCCTGTATTTTCCCGGATTTACAGATCTGTCCCTCACGAATTTTCTTACAGGCAGGTGTCTCGGTTAGCCCTCAGCCAAATAAAATTACGAATCTAACCCTACGAGTTAGTGTACAACCTCGCAGTCAATCAACTCATGCAGCACACAGTTGCACAGCTCATGCAGCACACAGTTGCACAGCACACAACACACACCACACAGCAGCTCATGCAGCACGCAGCACACAGCACACAACAGGATAGCCAGACCGTTGCTGGCCCCATACTCGTGCAGCACACGTCGTGCGCCGGCGACAGTACACAGCACACAGCACACTACAGTACACAGCATACAGCACACAACACACTACAATACAACCTCTGTGCGGCGGCGCTGCCGGCGCAGGCTGCAAAAAACAGCAAGTCAATGCAAGTGCATACAGTCAACACCGCACCTACACACTCGTACACATTATATTTGTGTGTGTGCGAACTGGTCTCAGTGCAGTCTTCACTGTGTTCTTATTTCATGCTTTTCTTTGCTGCATTGAGCGGCGCTCCTTTCCTCTTCGACGACCCCGCTGGAGTGTCACCGCCTTTGCGTGCTGCTGCTGTCTTCTGAGACACCCCCTTCCCCGCTTGCGTTTCTCTCTCGACCTGCCTTGCAGCATTCATCTGCCGTAGCTTTTCTGCTCTCTTCTGCTCGTCGATAATGCCTTCATATTTGTATTCCCAGCGAGCCTTGGCCAAGTTGTCAACCAGCCTCAGGTCCTTCAGCTGGATCGTCACCCTCTTGTAGTGGATAGCAATGATGTTTGTTCTCTCGAAATGGTTGATGAGATATGTTTCCGCCGCTTCCAGTAACGCACGTATGGGGTTCATCTGAAACCTAATAGATTGCCCTGGTGCGATTTCTTTCTCAACGACCTCACGCACGACCCTCATGAACGGCCTTAAAGCGATGCACAAGTGAGTAGATCGTTGGAGTTGCCGAATTTCTGCCAATGCTGCCATCCCTGCGCGGCGCCTGCGCTTTGGAACCGAGGCAGCGGCTGCTTTTGCTTTTGTGGAACTCCCGAGTCCACGAGGCGGCCTAGATGTGCACTGCTTCTTCTTCCTCCCTGCCCTCCCTGTCACGTGCTCCGCAGGGGTGACACCATCGTCGGCTTCTGCATTAGAACATCCCCCATCATTTGCTGTTTCCGGGCCGTCGACCTGAGTTGGCAAATGTGAAATGTCCTGTTGTTGTTGTGTTGTTGGTTGTGCATTTGATGCAGCAAGAGCGTCGTCATCACCCACGTATTGAATGTGCCGCAACAGTCCATCTATGTACGTGAGCTGGAAAGGGACACCCAAAGGGTCTCTGAATCTCATGCACATTTGTTCACCATGCTCATAAGTCATGGGACAGGCGACAGGGACCCACCCAAGAAGTGATGTGCACCCGTGACTGCGTCGAATGCCCTCCAGAAACATGTCATCCGTCGAGGGTCGTGCTTGCTCGGTGCACGAGTCTTCCACGATCGACCACATCGCCTGGTCATTATAGGATTCATATCCCATGCACACCATCTGCCGTTCTTCCTCCCTTATCTTCTCTCAGCAACGCTGCGCGTGTTCCTCCAGCAATCCCCGGTCCTTCACATGAGGATTGCAAACGGAGACACGTGTCACCACCACCAAGAACTGCCAATGCTCCACAACGCCAGCATGCATCCAACCCAAAGGCAACCACTCACCAGATTGCATTCTTGTTGCCAGTGTCACTTTGCCATCAACAACTGTTGAATGCAAAGAACCAGGTACCCAATTGACATGGTACCCGTACATGTCACGGGCCACATGCTGGTACAACTGCCCTTCTTGAATCACATGGGCCGCAANACTTGCATTCAAGCAGACACTTCGTACATGTTTACATTTGCGCATATACGCAGAGACACCCCCCTCGAATACAAGACATCCCCACCCATCCCCAAGGCTGAATTGTACAGATTCACGATTTTGCTCGCTTTGGAGCAACAATCACGAATTCCTGGCAGCGCGCCTAGGACCTGAAAAGAAAAGGAAGAAGAAGAAAAATAATAAGAAGAAGAAGAGGTAGAAGGACAAGAAGAAGCACAAGAAGAAGAACAAGAAGAACAACAAGAACAAGAAGAAGAAGAAAAGCAAGAACGGATACAACACATCCCCACCCAAGCCTCAAGCCCGTTGTGTACATCCAGCAGTTTATTTGTCTTCGCTTTGGAGACACAGTCACGAAATCGTGACTGAAAGGAAAAAAAATCAAAAAGAAAGAAAGAAAGAAAGAAGAAAGAAAGAAAGAAATCGAGACTGATATGGATAAGAAAGAAAGAAAGAAAGAAAGAAAGAAAGAAAAAAAGTAAAAGAAGAAGAAGAAGAAGAACAAGAAGAAGAAGAAGAAGATGAAGAAGAAGAAGAAGAAGAAGAAGAAGAAGAAGAAGAAGAAGAAGAAGAAGAAGAAGATGAAGAAAAAAAAGAAGAAGAGGAAGAAAAAGAAAAAGAAGGGTTAGGAGAAGAAGAAGAATGAGAAGAAGAAGAAGCTTCGGTCCTGTCTCTTATACACATCTAGATGTGTATAAGAGACAGGTCCCATACGTCCATACAGATGTCATCAAATGTGGCTTCTTTCCCCCTTACGTGGACATATGTGATGCTCTTCTCAACACCAAACACCGTTCCTTCAGCCAGGGCCAACTCGGCAGGATTGCCAAGTGGCGGGTCGAAGATGCGTGCATCGCGTGGCCGGCATGTCATCGCCTCCTTTTCGTCTGCAGTCGCTTCTCTGTCGAAATGAAGGAATGAAAACATGCCGTTCACGTAATGCGCGCTCCAGACATTGCCCATGATATCACGCACTTGCATTTTAACACGACCATATCCAAATGGGATTGCAGATGGCACCCAACCCCATCTAGGATCCATTCTTGCATCTTCCTGGCTGACTGGCGTCCCCCCCCTGCGTTGCTGGTCACCCAACACCCACAGTTGTCCGTAGTCAAAGTTGTCATATACGAAATCGTTGAGCCGCAACTCACCCTTTGCCTGTAGAACACGATACATCTCCAATGCGTATTGGCAAGCATCGTGGGTCGTTGCCCCATCATTCAACCTCAACACTCTGTCATAGATAAATGACAGACATACGTTACGCCATGTTCCTTTCTTTGGGGGCAGGAACAACAACCCACTGGTCAGCAACCTTGAAAGCAAAGCAATGCACACCTCCATCAATACCTAGTTGAACACGACCTGGCACCCAAGTCACATCGTACGGGTATCTATCTCCTGCCATTGTCTTTGTCACATTTGCATTTGTGACAATGCATCCACAGTGAGGACCCTCGCTGCCAACATCTTCCTCGTTTCTCTCTCCACTGTTCCCTCGTGCACCGCTATCGTTGTCATCCACGTCAGCAAAGCATCTGCTCAGTTTTCATATGAATTGTGGCGAACACCTCTTCACATGCAGCAGTGGCTGTGCCCCCGTCGGTGGTCTGCTGATGAACTGTCGTTTCGTTGACCTCACTTGCAGGGAACAACCACTTAGAATGATTTTTGTTTCCATGACGTTGGTCTCTCCAGCATTGGCGGTTGTTGCAATGGCGGGTTCCATCTAAATATTTACACAACACATAAGGTCGTGAGTCAACGTCGATGACAAAATGTTTCCACA